TATCAATTCAGCCTCTTCGTTAATTATTTGATTACTCATAACCAGAATCAGAAGTTAAATTTTAAACTTAAATATTATAACACATTCTACCAAAGAATAAACTCACTTCATGAACTAGTCGGAATTCGTTTAATAGAACTCCCAATTCAAATTTCTGATTTCACTGGAAAAAATGGAAAAGGTATATTATTTTATTTTTTTAATTTTTTATTTTGCTTTATCGGCTAAATTATATTCTTTAGAAGCAAAAAAAATCGAATCTTTGATTAAATGGTTTGAATTTGGAAAAACATGTAAGTTTCTATTGAATTTGATGTTAGATTTTTTCTAAATTCTAACATTATTATCTGTATATAGGTGGCGAAGAAGAATAAAAAGCTTGGATTTCAGAATACCCAATGGTCGACTTTGAAAAGTTGTCAGTTCGTATTGAAAATCTTAAGGAAACGCTTGACCCAATTGCTAGGAACGAAGTGACATGTTATTATCGTGATAAAGCCATGAGTTGCATCAATGAAGTTGGTATAAGAAATTATAGCAATCCTATGGTACAAATTGAATTGTTTTATGAATTCATAGTATGTACGAATAATTAAATTATATAGATAGATATAACGGAAAGTTATAGGATACTTATTCTAATAATATTTGTAGCCTGGTTATTACGGACCAAAAGGTCAGAGTATTATCGGCGAAACTTTACAAAAAATTTACGTGAACACCGAGATTATGACCAATGAATCTTGTGCTCCACAAAATCCAATTGCGTACCTTTTCGAGGTGATGATCTCTGAAACTGCTGTCCGTCTCATAATGGATGACTTGGGCTATGAATATGATAAAGCTAGAGAAACAATGAACAAGAGTATGGTGTATGGAAATTTAATTAATCCACTTGAAGACGAGATTAATGAGAGTGAAGATGAGATTGATGAATAATGTTTAAGCTTATAAAATTGAATCTAGTCTTTTTTTCTTTAGTACTGTTGTAAATTTTACTACGAAATAAAAAAGATCTATGATCTGGTACAAAAAGATAGATACTTCAAATTAAAATTATTATATTAATAAAATTTTTATTATGAAATTTAATATTTCTTAATTTTAATTTTTTTTAAAAATATAAGGTTAACATAAGATATATTTTGTCACTTATTTCATGACATCAATCGAATGGCTTTAAAATAAATGCTTCATTAAAAAAAACTAAATTTAACCCAAATTATTCTCAACTTTAAATTTTACTTAATTCAAATTACCGGTGTAATTTTTCGTGATCGCTAAGACGTGTCATGTGATTACATGAGTGTTTGAACACATATAGTTGCCTCTAGACCATGCGTATATGAGAACCGCAATCACGTGATACCTGCAAATTCTCTGAATATCCACAAATTCTCTATGAAAACCATGAATTTACTGAATATCCGCAAATTCTCTGAATTCCTGAATATCTGTGAATTCTCTATGAATATCATGTAAAAGTGTGTATATCTTAGTTGCTTATTTTTAAGTTTACAAATTTATTTTTATTTATTTATTCAGCTTTTATACTATCTAAATATGCTCTAGCTTTGCTTAAAGTTTTCAAAGAAATAATAAGAGATCCATCTTTTTGTTCACACTCTTCATAAAAGTCATCTAGCGGTGTTCGTAATGTATGTTTGCAACAAAGGTTAAGGTCAGTGTACTTATAGAGAATACAGATTGATCTACGAAATTCGTTAATAATCCTTCTAAAGCTAACATGTTTTATACCACTTCCAAGATTTCTTGACGCGTTAAAAGGTTCTTCTATACATAGTTTCCAATGGCACCAACTTTTTTCCGACTTAGAAAGGCATTTACCTTGCCGAAGGGATATAACATTATTCTTATAGTCGAATTCATAAGCAAAGCTAATAAAGTGATAAAGATTTCAGCTTTCGAAAATGACATATTATTGTTGTCGCTGATGCTGAATGTGAGTCTTCAATTAAAAGTATAATCACTAATATACTCTTTATTAACGACTCTAAACGGCTGACGCTGGAAACTTTAAATGTTTTAATATATATCAGATATATTATTATTATTATTTTGTTTTAAAAGATTATAAATCAAGTAACCTAAAAACATCAAGGTAAATAATATTCCAAAACAATTAAATTAACATATGACCAATTAAAACAGGAAAGTCCACTTTCCAAAAACTTTAATTTTTTGAATTTATGCGAAAGTTTAGTCCGAGTCGACTAGGCTTACCGTATAAGCGCGAAATAACGCCCATGGACGTCATTTTAAAAATCGGAACCTTCAAAAATAGCCTATGCAGCTTCGAATAACGCGCAGGTCAATTAATTAACGCGCACATGGTCGTTATTTCGCGCTTATACGGTAAACTATTTTCGATTTACCTGGATATTAATCGATTGTTAAATCGTGTAAGTTCTATAATTACAATATAGATAATTATCTTAATTTGTTATATTTGTTAAAAGTATATGCTCATGAAATGAGTTCGGAAAAATACAGTATAACGAATTTAGATCATTACTAATGATCTGATAAATTGAAAATAACGATAATTAATATGATCGAATTGATTAAATGGAATATATTCATTTCCTGTCCTTATAATAAAAATTGTTTATACGATTTATTTGTATATTTATGCTTTTCATACTCTATGTAAAACTTATTATCTTAAAACATATAAATTTGTTTTCTAATAACCAGATATATATTTCCAAATAGCAATTTACTATGAAAGTAGGAATGTCATTAGGGTGGCGACTCAAACTAATTAAATCAAACATAGTGAAGATCAGATAATCATCTATATGAGTGCTGCAGAGCGAAAAGCTGGAAGTGAATATTTAAGTTTTCACTATCGCTATGACGAGTTTAGCCCCTGATGAATTCTGATGTTACGTAATTAATCATGCGTACGATCAGTTTTCTAGTCGTTTTGATAGTATGTATCACCTTTATATAAAATGTAAATTAGGCTCATCGGCTCTATTAATTAATCGATTTTCATTACAAGAACACTGATAATCAATACGTAATGTTGCAATTCATCAGGGGCTAAACTCGCCATAGTGAAAACTTAAATATTCACTTCCAGCTTTTCGCTCTGCAGCACTCATATAATATAAATCGTCGAAAAAAAATTGATTATAATATCGAAATTTAACCATTAATAAATCCGAAATAATGATCATCATATGTTCCCTCAACCCTGATTTTAGGGGAATTTACAGAAGGGCCCAAAAATGAGAATAGTTACAAATAAGGGCCCAAAACTACAAATAGAGGACAGATATTTGAAAATTATTACAAATGAATAATTAGAACCTATGATTTAGGCCCCGTTTCGATGATTTGATCATTAATTGTTAACGCATAAGAAATGTAATAATAATCCTTATAACGAACACCATGTCAAATATAAAATTACCGATCGGTATGATTTTTACTAACATGAAAATGCTCATTCAGCCTTGGACAGTTATTCTGCTGAATTTCAGAACGAACAAACAAAATAAGCTGTTGGCTATTTGTTTTGCAAATGAAACCAGTTCATGCCCTTTTACGATTTCAGCTAACAAACGCAAAGATGGCTATATTCATATAGTAAGGCTGATTCCTCATGATCCAACTTTAACTTCTATGGAAGCATTCAAAGCGCGTGGATCGTACCTTGTAAAATTTACTGCGCCATTAGTTAAAGATATAGCAGTACTTCGACTTCGTGATATTATAAGTCGTGTTCGTTCTGAAGTGGGGGCTGAGAGTAATAAAGTTATTAGGCCACACAATGTTAATTTTCCGTTTTGCATTGCAGGATTTCAAAAACCTGGTCTGTCGGTTGGATTTGTTTTTTAATTCTGGACAATGAGCTATAACTTTAAAACATATATTTAATCACGAAATGAGGCAATTAATCATGATACGTATCATCGGCTAGCAACTTTGATGGTATATTTGGGCCTTTATTTGTAATAATTTTTAAATATTGGGTCTTTATCTGTAATTATTTTTATTTTGGGCCCTTATTTGCAATTATTTTCGTTTTTGAGCCCTTATCTGTAAATTCCCCTTCTTGGACATGATCTGTGTGACAAATCGTGGGATTGGTAATTAAGTGCCCTTCATTATACATTAACGATCATCTTAAATTTTTCAAAAAAAAATGACACTAAAATTTTTTGAAAAGCTTTCAAGTAATTATCTTGAACTTCTTGATGATGAGGAAGATTTTAATGTATTGATCAATGTTGGTGAATCTCCAAATACCAAAACATTTCGGGCGCATTCAGCAGTGTTAAAGTATAGGTCATTATATTTTCTAAATGAATTGAAAAA